ATACTAATAAAGTAAAAGTAAGAAAGTTTTTCTCACTGATGTTACAGTGAGGAGCTGCCATCTTAAATTCTGAACTCTCCCACTTTYTAACAGGAAATTCCCACTGGATGATCAACATGCATCTACACTGAGGATCTACACTGAGTTCTACCGCTTCAGGGGAAGTTGATATTTTTACCTCTGAATCCTCATCATTCAGACTAAAAATGTCAGGGGTCTGAATGTTTTCGTTGTCTTTACAATTAGCAATATGACGGAAACGAATAGTGAATTTATTGTTAGCAAAACATCTTGTATCATTTGTGATGATACAAGGTAAGGTGAAGTTTTATCGAGTACGAGAACGTCGTTCAACGGCTAGTCTCTTTAAGTATATGGTATCAGGAAGAAGCAAGGTTATCTTCTGGGTGTGAGCATGGATTATTTGTGAGACGGAGGTTGATTTAGTAACAACGTTGGACGGTTCGGCCTTTTTTGTGCAAGGGACGTAGTTGAAGCAATGAGTTTGAGTTTTAGGCATAACTCACCCTCAATGGTTATTRAATGAATGCTTAGTTAATAGAGTGTTGCATTCACTCTGGTGATCAGGCAAAATCTGTTTGGATTGGTGGGCATAGGTGATTATGTTTTTATAGATCTTATGATTGCTTATTTAAAAATAAACATTGGAGCCTTGGTTGTTTAAGTTAGGTGAAGTTTACATTCATGATAATAAGGTTAGTTATTTTAGTGGTTTGAGGTTGAAGGCTTTTTTGTGGTTTCATTTGGTCTCTGTGGACCCACTTACTGACAGGTTCTTTTTGATCTTTACTAGTTCTGATCTGGTAAAGAGATGGTGACAGTTTGTCTGTGATCAGGTGGGGTCCAGTCCATTCTGGTTGAAGTTGTTGGTCATGTGTTCCAGCCTGGGCTGTGAACTTGTAGTACCATACCTTTTTGCCTATTTTGAGTTCTTTGGGCGGAGTCTTTTGGTCATAGTAAGGTTTGCGTCCTTCAGTGGTTTTGTCAAGTTGTGGTTGTGCAAAAGCAAAAGTGTCTTCAATTTTCTCACGAGTGGCGCGTCTGGCATCTGCTTCAGTAGAAAATGTTATTGGCAGTGGTGTTTTCGCTTGGGCCCAAACTTTGAGATTTTTGTAATCTATCAAAGGCTGGAAACGGTTCAAAAGATCTTGTCCAATGAGAAATGGGATTGAGTCGAAAGGAGACACATACACTGGATGTTTGAGAGACACAGGGCCTATCTGTAGTTCTATTGAGGCCACTGATGTTATGATGGCGTCAGGGGGCGTGTAGGACTTTATTTCTAGCRCACAGGGTTGGAGAGACAACTTCYTGTTAGCGCTGTGGGCCTTTGTTTGTAGCTCTTTGAATARGCTGGCGGACATCAGAGACACATCAGCTGCTGTGTCCAGAAGGGCTCGACATTCTAAGGCTTTCTCCATTTTCAGTGGTAGGTAGAGCTTTCGTGCGACCCCCATTTCAGTCAAATCACACAAAAACTGCAGGACTGTTGGTTCCACAGGGGTCCTGGGACTGTCACCGTTTGAGTTTAAGTCACTATGGTCGGTTTGGACCACTAAGACTGTGCTAGGGATGTTTGAATCTTCATCTTGTGATTCTGAGTCAGACGGATCTGAATCATGGTCGTCACTAGTGTCCACAGAGTCTGAGTTGTCGTCAGATTCAACAGGAGGTGTTGTTAAGTCTGTGGTTTATTTTTTGTGAACTTGGTTTTCGTTCTTGTCCCTTTTCTTAAGGTAATTTTCAATGGCTCTCTCAATCAAGTCATCAGTAATGTGATCTTGATTTTTAGATTTTCATCTTGGGGTTTWGTTGACTGTTTTGTCTTTTCAGATCGCTCACGACGTTGGGGAGATTGTTCAAAATCTCCATGYGGGCGTCTCTCTTCTTGGTAAGACCTTTGGGAATAGTCATGCTTTCCATGTCTTTGTTGTTTGTTATAGAAACGGTGTCCTTGGTAATCTCCTCTATAGTTTGATCTTTGGGGAGATCTATCTTGCCTAGAGTCTGAGTATCTATCGAGGCGGAACCGTGGTCTCTGGCTAGTTTTAGGTGAGGATGAGACAGGTTTGACTCTGTTTGAGTCAGGTCTGCCTGTGGCTCCTTCCAGTTCTAGGGACAGGTCTTTCGTGTCCAATGTTAAAACTTCGCTTGGCTCTGTATGTCTGCTTTGTTTGACTTTTTGGAAAGCTAGACAGGCATATTCACGTAGCTTTTGAATGGAGGTYGTGCGGGGTTGGATTGTCACATCTAGCTGCTGTTTAACAGAAATATGTAAATTCTGAACAAACAAAGCTTTGAAATTTGGGTCACGTTCCATGTCAGGTTCATTTCTTGGGCCGAAAAATGCCTGCATAAGTCGGGAGTAAAATTTATTGGGATTTTCATTTGGTCCTTGCTTGACATTCATGGCTAAAGTCAGTCCTGCTTGATGAGAAAAATCTGAATACTCCCGTTAACATAAACAGCTCTTCTGAACAGAAGTCAGAGCAGGCAAAACTAGAAAATGGGAAATTTTATTATCTGAGAATTACGTATTTTGTGCATTAAACTGAATGAACATGGTCTGGATAGCCCACAGACATACGTACCATAAAAATTTCTAGGACCCATAATTGGTTTCCAGTGTTTCCCCTACCATTATACAGGTGGGGCGGGCCCC